AAAATTCTATAATTTATAGAATTTTGTTATCTTACGCCATATCAAGTATTTAAAAGTATCAATTTGTTGCCTTAGTATTATTATTTTGTATGAAACACTTAAATTGAGCTAACAATTTATTTCTGTTGCTCTTTCCTCTGTAAAATCATGGTTTGTGGACGATTTAGCGGGTAAGAAATTATTTTAGTTCATACCTAGATCATGTTATTGAGCAAAAAAAAGTGAAAAGTAAACAACCCTTCTCGAAGCCCTTTTCTTTTATTCTGTTCAATTCAAAATGCCTCTTTTCATTTTTTTTCCTTTAAAAGTCAGTTAGTATTTATTGTTATCTTTTGCTTCCTTTTTTGGCAGCGAAAGCAGTTCTGAACATCAATCGTTTTCGCATACCTCAAAGTGGTTCATTTATTGCTGTCCGCAAGAGATTGTAAACTAATTACTATCTCTTGCGTCCAGCGTATAACCTCTTGTGTCTGCAAGATATTATAATCTCTTGATGTCTGAAAATATGCTCAAAGACATAAATTAATTAGCATTAATCGATTTTATCATATGGCCCGTCTGGCCCTGCTCGCGCGATTCCATAGAAAAGCTGACTTGTGTAGGGCCGGACGGGTTGGCGTGAGCCGGCGCCCGTTTCTCGAAATGCCTGGTAACTTAACGGGCTCGAGGCAATACTTTGAAATCAAAATTTTAGGAAGAGAGAAGCAGCCTGGCAACCTTAGTATTCCATTTTGTTTCTTTAGCTAAAAGTTTTATTGTAGAATCTTTAAAGCATTTGAAACCATCTTGAAGGAAAGCAGAACAGCTTTACGGCTCCGTTAAGTTACCAGGACCCCGAGAAACGGGCTACCGGTCCGGAAAAACCGCCCGGCCCTAGTGCACTTGGGAAAAAAATTTAAATGAAAAACATTGTCCGCTTTTGTGGCCAAAAATGAGTGACAACAGAGAGTACAAATGGAAACAAATGCCACGTTTTTCGATGAAATGTGAGTTTCCTGTTCTAACTCGAAAACAGAAAGGAAAAGTATTAATTGTAGAATCGTTTTTGTGGTTATTCCGCGCGCGCCAGTCTATCGCGTAGTATTTACGAAAAAAAAATTCGAAATTTTCCACACTGAAAAGTCATACGATAAAATGCGTAATGACTGAGTTAGGTCGGGCTGGATGGGAAATATTTGGCTTTCGGTCATAGCACTCGGACCTCTGTGTTGTGCTCGGTCCGTACGTCATGACCTCGAGCCAAATACTTTCCCGTCCGGCCCTCCCACTCAGTCAATTAGTACACAGTATCTCACAACGGCTTTAAACTGATAGTAAATTTCAGTTGATTCATTTTCTCCTCTTTTCCATCGGGTTCACCAACGTCTAATTGACATAACAGGTCGTAAGTAGCTTTTTCTTTACTTTTCCTCATTCATTTTTACATTTCTAACAAACCAGGTACTATTCGACAGTCATCATCAGTCATCATGTGTTAGACTCTCTTCAGAGTTATCATCATTTTTGCGAAAGAGTAGATTTGTAAAAGAAAAAGCTTTACTTACAATGAACTGGTATAGTTTTCGCCCAAGTCAATATTTTTGATTGCGGCCAAGAGTTATACTTTGGCAAAATGTCCTTTTTACTATTGGTGGCCGACAGCATGTTAAAGACTCTTATCTGGTCAGACTTCACCATTGACTGCCAACATGGTAACCATTTGAAATACCCAACAGTTGTGGCTAGTGTAATAGGATGCGTAGTCATACTACTGGCTGTTCCATTAACAAGACACTTTTACTTGACGATACCAAACTGAAGAACAATGTAGGCAATAACAAATGTGCATCACTAACTAACATATCTCTTTCTCCTATTTCCTACCTTAACGGGCAAATAGATCGTAAGTATGTCTTCTTTTTATAGTTATTTGGCGGATTTCACATGTCTTTTCACTACTGCAGTAACAGTCATGTAACATATTTGTGTCACTGTCGCTTACTTTTGTAATAATGAAAGCTACAATTTCGTTTTATTGATATTATTATGGATGAGAAATTATGATCATCAATAAACATGGCATTCTGATATTCGCCTTGCTTCCTAACTTATGGTTGGAAACTTGTTGACGTCGTTTTGAACTAGGCTCATGTGAAAATATATATTCAGTGTGAACCATAAGTAGATAAGGATCAGATTTTGATTCAGTGGCTCAGTTTACGAAAAGATTTAATGTCGTCTGTGGTAGACTGTAAAATTGAGGTGTTAGTTACTTGAAACTAATTATGAGAATTAAAGCCATAATCATGAAAATGGTTTCATATCAGAATTATTTGTTGAGCAGAGGTCTTAGCCGACTGATTAATGAATATCAACTCTCTTAGCAGTTAATTACTTTCATTTTATTTATTTTTCTGTTCTTGATGTATTTTTTTTTCTTATTCCTTGGCCTTGGCAACTGTGAAAAACGATTAGGACGTAAGTACATGTTTCGCTGTGATTTAAAGCATATCTATTTGCATGGCACTTTTACAGTACGTTTACGTTAACATATTTAACTAAAGTACAGGTGATAAACGAAAGAAAAAGTGCATAGCATTTCTCAATAAACAAATGAATGTTTTGAGCAACAGATGCACGTTTTAATTTTATTTTTTTTTATAACTTTTATTTACATGCCACTTCTGCAATCACTTAGCTGGTAAGTTGAATTTAGTTTATCTCGCGCAATTCTTATTCTTGATAATCATGCTCAAGACAATTAAATTTTCCTTTAGTACCTAAGATCCTATTTACAACCGGACCGCGTATGAATTGTTTACTCTTTTCGGAGTGTATGTCGATTAAGTGTTGTAAAAACAAAGCTAGGTTATCACCACAGCGAATCAGAACAACGAAAAATCATTGGAGCCTCAAGAATCTCATATTCAAAGCAAACATTTGGCATCCAGGACTGGAAAACGCACGAGATCATGTGAAATCAAATTTGCTGAGAAGCTGTAGTGCAGCAGACGAGGCGTAACAAAACTCCGATGTTATCAAGGATTACTTCTGAAACCCCCATTGAAAATCGCTTTCTCTTACAATAATACAGTTTCAACCAATGAAATTTACGCTGACATCCATGTCATCAATGTGTTTTAAGTCTACTTTTATGCTTTATTTTGAATTTTGAGCTCAACTCGTGCTTTCGGTACATTTTTATTGGTAAAGACTTCCATAACTGGCCCCTCATCCTGTGATCTGCTGGTGACAGCTGACGAGGAACATTCGATTTAGCAATGCTAACTTTCTCTACTTCCTGATAGCGACTGAATCTCGTCCAAGACCGCAAACAAAAAAGTTCACGGTGTCTACCATAGGATCATTATAAGGCCTGACAAACGCAGAACAGAAGTAAAACAAAGTTTAACACAAGTAATTCAAGGGCTGGTCATACCACGCATAAAATCAGTCAAACCCTTAACGCGAAACCGGCGTGAACGAGGTTAAACAGAAATTTAGAAATGCAACCCATCCTTGATAATTTTCTCTTAAGTTTCTGGAGAATCTTTTTCCAACATCACATCCTTCTCTGGGAAATGTAAATTTAGGCGCTAATGCTCGCTTTCCATGTGTTGAGAAAGTACTGGAACCTAATTCCTTTCCTAAAAAAAAAAAAAGAAGGGGTAAAGTTTTACGATGAATTGTTATTTCATAACTTAAGCTATGTTATTTAGATCATTAACTGCTCCTCCTTTCTTATCTCGTCTTTTCTGTCTAGCCAAAAGGGAAGGTAACTATCAATATCATCCGTTCCTATAAATAAAGAACTCTCCTGTGGCTTAATATACACTATTGACTCTCTGCACCGGCTGATTACTGATCAGCAAATTGCAATCGTAAATAGCAAAGAATTATCTGCGTGTGTATCAATGACAGTTAGTGATAGCTGTTAATGTTATAATGTTACTATCCAAACGATTTTACTGATGTGGACAGTATTAGTATAAAATCAATACCCAAGTTCTGTAATAAACGATATTTGTATAATTATCATCAGATATCAGTCATATTTGGCTGATTGTTTGTTTGATTTAACAAATTCTGTTACATAATTATCGATTTCAATGTAAAATATTGACGTACCAAACAAACTGGTTGGTTCAAATAAACAAATGAATAGATAAATGGATTAACATCTTTTTCAAATTTGTTTTTCTCTTTCACGGCGTTCTTTTCGGATTCAAAAGCGGGTGAGTGCCACGAGTTCAGTTTGTTTGTTAAGCTTATGATGTGTTAGTCAAGTAATCCAAGGCCATATTAAGCCACTAATTTACTCATCAAATGTGAATCTTTTTTTTCATGTTCACCTAACATCCTCATCCTAACTGATATAACAGATTGTAAGTAGCCATGCTTGAACTATCATTTATCAGTAGGCAGGATAAAAGGTCGATAAAGATGGATGAACAAACGAATCGATCCCAATAGAGGGATTCAGACAGGATACTCTTCTCTGTGGATCAGTGGATGTGTGGACAAAGATGTTACATAGAAATAAAACTTTTAATTGTTGCAACAATTGAATTTCAACGTTTCAGGCCTCTGCCATATACTGATGGAACTTTTACAGTAAAGTTGAAAATTAAAAATTGAAAACGTTAAAATCTTAGTTTGTTTCTTTTAACATTTTTGCACAGTCATCCATTTGAGCAATAAAAAACAATGTCACTCTCCTTGGCTTATAACATGATAAATCCCTGACAGGTGTTGAGAGAACACCAATGATGCGTATAAATAGGGAACTGTAAGTTGGGTGATTTATAAGCTTTAAGCCATCAATCTTTTTTAACTTGGAGATGTTACTTCGAAGTCTCCCCGGAAATTAGAAACTGGGGATATCGACGATAATAATTACGTATTTTGGTATCCTTTATGACAAGCTGCAGATTAATGCAGCAAAGGAAGTAAAGAGCATAGGTAGAGTGATAATATGACATATGACTCTTTGCGCACAACTTATTGTTTTCAAAGGTTGTATGGCGTGGTCATCTTGGAGTGGCGGCTGCAAAGAGTGCAAGAACAGTCAGTACCGGCAAAGAGTCGGTAAGTGACAAGAGGGAGTGTTTAAGAATTTGTGACTCGAAAGTGTAATGGCGGGTTTTCGCCATTGTTTTACAACTTCCAAAACTATACAGCATTTATAAGCTTTTATTCAATTGGATTAATTCTTATGTATAGATTGCAATGATTATTAAGCAGGAACCTTCAGCAGTTATTGCCAATGGATGTTTTCTTTACTAGAAATAATATGACTTAATCTCCAACCGTTTATTACTTTTAAAAGATTATCTGGATAACCTTACTTCTAGAATTTAACTGCTCAAGAACTCGGGAATCACGGCCTTGTAAATGTAAGTGGTTTTATGTATGAGGAGAAAGTAAAGGACTCAATTGTTGGTAGAAAATGCTGCACAGATATCCTTCAACTGTCCTTTTATTAAACGTCAAACTCTTTGTTTAATAAACTTTAGTTTTACCAACAGAGTTGGTAATTTAGATTGGCCACCGTAAAAATGATCAAAGTTGACGTTTCGAGCGTTAGCTCTGACGAAGCGCTAACGGTCGAAACGTTAGCTTAGAAAATCTTTACGGTGGCCATTTTACATTTTCAATTTAGTTGATAAGACCCGAGATATTTTGGAAACTTACCCCCTTTTTCTTTATAAAAAGAAAAAAAATGGCTCGCACTGAATTAAAAAGATTTTATTTTTTCTGCAGGAGTTTCATTACTACCGATTAGATGCTAGATTTACATTTTGTCACAAAAAAACAAAGGCAATTTTTCTTTAGTAGAAAAAGAAAGATCATTACAGTTTCATGTAGAACAGGCGTGATTTTCGCGAGCGGGAGCTGAGTATTTTTCCTTGGTGAAAATCATGGTTGCAAACTTTGATTTTAAGGGCAGGGGAGAGTTGGGGAGAGAAAGAAAGTTGCACTAAGATTGTGAACGACGGTTAAAAAGAAGTAGAAGGGGAGGGGATGGGGATCAAGTTTTATATAAATCATTATTTTCCTTTTCAAAATTAAAAAGGTCCTCCTGAAATAAATTCTCAGCGAGAGAAGTCTGTCAAATTACATTCAACACTTCAAATTCAGTGCTTCGTGAAGGGTTTTCCTAAACCAGAGGTGAACTGGACAAAAGATGGAAAGTTACTTGATACCAGGAACATGCTCACGACTAATCGAGTGACTTATGGCGATGCTGGTCAATACAAATGCAGCGCTAAAAACAGTGAAGGGAAAAATGAAGCAGCTTTTCATATTACAGTCACAGGTAAATGTTGACTTACTTTTTTTATTTCAGTTTCTATTCTCATTTTCTAATTTTTTTTTATACTTTCACCTTTTTTGAATTGTACTTTTGAATTCTATGTCCAGGTCCTCCTGAAATTAATACTGAGCTCAAGAATCAGTTGGTTGCCTATAACTCGTCTCTTAAGTTCATTTGCTCTCTGAGCGGTTTCCCTACACCTGAGATACTTTGGACTAAGGATGGGGTTAATCTTTTATAAATGCAGCGCTAACAACAGTGAAGGGAAAAGTGAATCAGCTTTTCGTATTACAGTTAAACGTTGACTTTTTTGTTTCTTTCTGACGTTTTTTTTTTTTTTTTTTTACTTTCACCTTTTTTGAATTGTACTTATGAATTCTATGCCCAGGTCCTCCTGAAATTAATACTGAGCTCAAGAATCAGTCGGTTATATATAACTCGTCGCTTCAGTTCATTTGTTGTCTAAGCGGTTTCCCTACACCTGAGATACTCTGGACTAAGGATGGGGTGAATCGCGGTAACAAGAACACTCTCACAATTAATCGAGTGAGTTATGAAGATGCTGGTCAATATAAATGCAGCGCTAAAAACAGTGAAGGGAAAAGTGAATCAGCTTTTCATATTACAGTCACAGGTAAACGTTGACTTAATTTTGTTTCCTTCAGTTGCTCTTCTTATTTTCTGACGTTTTTTTTTCTTTTTTTTTTGTACTTTCACCTTTTTTGAATTGTACTTTTGAATTCTATGTCCAGGTCCTCCTGAAATTAATACTGAGCTCAAGAATCAGTCGGTTGCCTATAACTCGTCTCTTAAGTTCATTTGCTCTCTGAGCGGTTTCCCTACACCTGAGATACTGTGGACTAAGGATGGGGTGAATCGCGGTAACAACAACACTCTCACGATTCGCCAAGCGAGATTGAAAGACTCTGGTTCATACACCTGCAGCGCCAATAACAGCGAAGGAAGCAAAAACTCAACTTTCTGGATCCAAGTGGCGGGAGGTACGGTTCTTATTTACACATAGAAAGAACTGGAGTCGATAATCAATTTAGATCTTTGGTTGGATGAGGATAAAATCGTTTCCATGATACCAAATCAAATTTAAGGACTTGAAACCACAAAAATTTCAAAATTGACTAAAAATAATTAAAAAGTACTCAATTGATGATAACATTTAAAGGGCGAGAACATGCCAACTTACACACCAAATGTAAATGAATTTCGTGATCAGACACATGTAATTAATTTTTGGGCAGTTTAAACTGATTGCCTTTTGGAACGTCGAGCAATTTTGACTTTATAGATATCACCATATTTTGTCACGGCATTTATTATAAAAGTCCGTTTAAATTTTTTAATTACCTTTTTTTCTGCTTCTTAAATACCAATGACTGACAAGTCACGATTCATATACCATTTTAGAAGTGCAAAAATGTCAAAGTGGCTATCAGTGCATTATTATTTAAGTATTTATTACTGAAGTTGGAAAGCGAAACATCCATGTAAACTTTTCATTGAGTTGAAATTTGAAAATTCGGCGACCAAAACTGCAAAGAAATACATGAAAATAATCCCGCTGTTACGTCGTTATGAACTTGTACTCCTGCTACAATGGACGATCTGAGCGTTTAAAATGACAGATTTAACGTAATCTTTTCATGGAATGCAAACCTTTTAACCATTACTATTTGGCTATTCTTCAAAGTAAATGTGTAGTTTGAACTTAGAGAAACTGGTACTCTTGAACATGGTAGCACGGGGTGTTGATATTACACCTAACAACCAGTAAGAAAATGACGAAGAAATTAATAAATAGGTAACTAAATTGTTACCTCCTGGGCTGTTGCTAAGATAGGAAATCTTTTAAGGAAATAAAAAAATGTTTTGATGTCACATTGGGCTGACTTATACCTTCCTATATCAAAAGTGAAGAAAACTAATTTCAAAATAACCTTGGATTAAAAATAGACTTGGCAATAACTTGACTTCTTTTATTTTGAAACTAGTTAATTTAGGGTTGGATAAGGGAAGGGGGAGAGGGGCTTAAAATGGAAAATGCGACCCTTTGTTTAGCTTGGTGATCTTTTTACTTCAAGTCTCTCCCCAGATCATTGAGCCTCCGAAAAGCCAATTTCTTACCGAAGGATACCCTGTAAACCTTAATTGCGTAGCCTCAGGTATTCCAACACCAACCTTCGTCTGGACTTTTAATAATGGTGACCTGCCATCTGGTATCAATCAAACCGATCACGAAGAAGAATCATTCCTAGTTTCGCCAAGTGTCACGAAAGGGATGAATGGGACTTACAAGTGTACAGCAAAAAACAAAGCAAACACAACCAGTTCCTCAGCAACTCTGCGTGTTTATGGTAAGTTCAGTTATAATGATATTGATGATGATGATGATGATGATGATGATGATGATGACGACGACGATGATGATGACGTTGATAATGACGATGATAATGTTGAAGATGAAGAAGAGAAATAGGGAGAGAAGAAATTAAGACAGAAAAATGAACTTGTAAATCCATGGGCAATAGCGACGGAGAAAAGGAATAGCGCGAAGAGAATTTAGGCAAACTCGGCCCAGTTGTATAAAGGGCAGATAACGCTATCTAACGGTTAAATATTTATCCGGTGAATGTGTGAAAGTAAAACATAAAGCGTTATCCACCAGATAGAGTTTTATCTTGTGGACAGTGTTATCTACCCTTCGAACGACCGGGGCCTGACCTTCAAAAAACGGGTGATACCAATGCTTAATACTAATGTCCTTGGATCTTTATGATTACAAACGCAAAGAACTGCGTAGATCTGAGTAGGAAAGAAACGCCAAGGAAAAAGGACAGGTGATGGCGCTATAGAGAGTTGATTGATTCGAAATACTTGACGATATGCAATGTACTCCCAAACTGGAAAAATCTGAAGAAGAGACTTTCGAGATGGAGAGATCCAGAATCTCAGAAGAGAACAAAAAGGAAGCGAGACGCAAAAGCCAATTTTACATACGACACACAATTGTAATCTCTACATTGAACAACAAGACTAAAACAGAGGAAACTACTTAAAGCGAATACGCTTGTATCCGTGACCGAAATCGGAGGTCGAATAGCGATTAAGCATTCGAAAGAATTCCCTCGCACCCTCAATTCTCTTAGATCTCTCCAAAAAGTTGATTTATGGCTTTGTAACTCGTAATGTGGCTCAGCCAATGAGGATGGAGAATATTACAGAGTTAAGATTTAGGGATTTACACGCTGAAAACGCATGAAATAAAATTTTTTTCTCAAGCTGGTCCAAGAAGCCGAGAGTCAATCAAATGGCGCATATCGCTTTTTTTTACGCGGGAGGAACTGCGTATCGTGCTTTTTCACCCGTGAAGCGTATGTTATTCTTATTTATCACATAAACTGCGGTGTTATACTGGGATTTCCGGCCCAGAGAAAAACCGAAACAACACACGTGAAAAAATATCGTATTTTTTCACGTGTGTTGATATAGCCAATCGGCTGCTGATACGTCACTCGCCTTTGGCGCCACTCGGTCAGGTTGATGAATGAATGGCAAAGCGTTCACGATTCTCGATACAACTTGTTTGTCGGAGCTTTCTCGAATTACGGCAGCTAAAACACTAAAAAATCCGTATCGCTAACAGACAGTGAAGTTCAAACTTTCCTAAAAGGCAAAGAAAACCAATATACTAAAAGAAAAACCGAAAGTTTCCTATTCAGTGGCTTTAGTGTTAGCATTTCTCTCGGCTGAGAATGAAAATCGACAACTGGAAGATTTTCTACTAGCCGATTTTGGCCGTTTACCTGAAAGACTTCTTCTGTCGGTAAGGACAAAGTCAATAAATGAGAATTTTGTTAATTGAAAATTACGAGCATTGTTGTTTTTGTAATCGTGATTCAACGCATTTTTCCATCTTGGGAGTTAGCGCCAACGCACTCTACGATTGTTATTCGGGGATTGTCGATTAATTTATATTCATTTATAAATGAAGCCGGCTTTTCTTCTCAGTAAAGGGCTATTGTGTTTATATGATAAAAAAAAATAATACATGGGTGCTTATAGATATGGAATTTCTCTTCTCGTGTTCAACTCGACATCTCACTCATTCGCTGCGCTCACTCGTGAGCTATCGAGTTAAACACTCTAAGAGAAATTCCATATCTACGCGCGCCTATGTATTATTCTCTATTAATCCTTCACCGGCATAGTTTCCGTTCGTAACATTATAAAAATCGGCTTTCAGGACTGTTTATTAAATCAAATTACTTACAAAAGATGACTGAGGAACCTCTGTGGAGAATTATGCGGAATAGAAAGCATACAGAGCAAAAACACAAAAGAGATAACAGCGAGTCGGTTTGTACAAGAAATCTCATTGGTTCGCTGCGCACACCTGTTCGATTTCCGATACTACCAACTCGTGCGTAAAATACCATACGGACAGACTTTCCATGAAGTATTCTCTATCGATTGAATTGTCATAACAGCTCTTGATTCTAGTTCCGTCTATGATATCCACAATTTATCCATGGAAATTTAACCGTGTCAGCTTGAGAAAATGTTGTAAGTCCACTCGAGAAAATGTAGTAAGTCCACTCTCCTCAGGAAGTGATAGAAAACCACCTAATGAAGTTGTTGTAGTACTTTAGAATTTAGACGGACGATCATCTACTTGAAATCAGACCCGCTACCGCAGTGCTGGAAAAGAAAGAAACTTCGTGTTGCATGACTCACTTGTTGTGTCCTTTTGACACAAGGGTGCAGAAAAAAGAACAAGAGAAGATGGAACATTATCAAGACCTTAATTTAGAAGTTCAGCGGAGGATCTGGGGCGGTTGAAACAGTAACCAGGAAATTTAAAACATAAGGGCTTCAAGCTTGTTCTGAAACTCTTTCGAAACTCACTACGAAACACTTTTCTTACTTTTTTTCCATCTAAAGCAACATATTCGAAGCATTCCCATAAAAGGTCACATTTGACTCGTTTCGTTTCCATGTTTGTGTTTGTGTTTGTTTTTTGGTGTGTTTATAATGCAGTTGTAGTTTTAATGAGAAACCAGCATACTAATGAATTGCCCCTTTTTCAACGCAGGAAAAGCCTCTGCTCAAGTTGTTCCAGAGACAGACATAACAGTCACCAAAGGAGAAACCCTCACATTGACCTGCAAAGTCAACGAAGAAACAATAAGCATAAGGTGGAAAAAAGATGGAGAAACAATAACAGAAAGAGCATTTATAAATCCACGATTACATAAACTTGCTATTACTGAGGTTGTGGAAGAGGACAGTGGTGAATATTCTTGTGAAGCACGTAACAAGCCAGGAACTGTGGCTCGCTCTGTTGTGACAGTAAATGTCAAAGGTAAGCTGTTCAAGGAACCACATATAATTTCAGTAATTAACTATGTAAGGTCATTATTATAAAATACACGTCCGCCTTTTATGTTCCTCACAAACTTTTCCAGTGGTTTTTTGGTCTTCTGGAAACTAGAAATTTGAAATGAATTAAATTTGAAAGAAATTTGAAAAAACTGTTTCAAAACGAGTTTGAAACAGTAGCAGCATGTTATACATATTCTATAATTCTTTCACCAATCTTTCTCTTTCTATCTGCCTGTTTTTTGTAAATTAACACATCTGCGTCTGTTTTTCCAAAGGTTATTCCCGGTCACCCAACGTGAGCAATGAACAACGTAAATTGTTGGAACAAAAAAAAATAGCTCTCTATCTGGATAATTGGTGATATTAATTTTTATTTTTAATGCCGACCAGCAAATTACTTTCCTACTAAGCTTCTTCTATTATTATATTTCAGGAAATTCAGAGGCTCCCTCCAGCAGCTCACCTCCCTCCAGCAGCTCACCTCCCTCCAGCAGCTCACTGGAGTGGTACTACATTGGGGGACCTTTGGCTGCTGTCGTTTTTCTACTGGCGCTCATTTCATACATTAAAAAACGCCGTGAGACAGGTAAAATGTTACCATACGAAAATGAAATGTCTTCATATGACAGATTGTGGCTTTTAATACGTCAGTGTTTTGGAGCAGTGTTTTAAGCAGGTCATATTCTGTATTTCCAGCACTGATTTTGAAGGTCCCTCTACAGTCCCGGTAAAGCCCATTACTAATCAAATTACAAAAACGTTACAAATTATATGAAACTAATTACCATGATAACCCACCTTATTCCTTCTCCCGTTGTTTGACAACAGAGTCAAATATAAGTTACACGTGGTTTCTGAGTCGCAAGCTTTAACTTAGTTAATGACGTCATTCTTACTCACAACGAAGCGATTTCTTTCATCTCTTTCCACATATCCTTTGATAATAGCCCCACCTGAGGTGCCACCTAGGCTGCAGTAAGTGAATTGTCTCTTTTTTTTTAATGCTCACTGTTTGAACGTGTGGTTATTTCCGAAGTTTCTAACTCTTGAATAAGTCTCAGTAGAGTGGTGATAAGCGCCACTGCTGAGCAAATAAGTTTTTTTTTTCAGTTTGGACCGATTTTATTCACCACCAAGAGCACATGGGCCAAAATAAAAGATTTTTCCTTTCGAAGCAGCGGCAGATTTCGAAGCCGTTCTTATCAAATGGCAGTCAAATGTTTCCTAACATTCTTTCTGTTTTGGATTCGTCCGTCCTTCACTTGTTTTGACATCTTGTTTAGTATCTTTTTTTTTTGTTACCAGTACGCTGAGTTGTGGGTGGCATACTTGTAAAGAAGAAGAGAAGCTTTGACCCTTCGTCACTCTTTGTTACAGAAACTACAGTTGAAATACACTCGGAGTCTTGTAGACCGATTTAAAATACCACTCGATATATCGATTGTAGACAATACTTCGGATGGTTTTGGTTAGTATTTCATTTCTCGCGTAGGAGGCACGATATTTATATGACGTAAAATGCCGAAAAACACAGTCGGCGCTAGGTTATCTTCATGCGAGGTTTATTCAATCTTTTTTTTTCAATAAAATCTCCTCTCTGGGTCGATGAGTCGAAAAAACAGGTTCAGTAAATTGGTATCCAAATGTCACAAGTGATAATTTTCTGAAGCACCCGGAAATGAAATAAAAAAAAAATGAAAAGAAAAAAAATTAAAGTGGAGATATAGAGGATATCTTTACCACGTTACGTTAAACCAGATTCAAAGAAGGAAAAGATAGATAGGTAACACGGATAGTTAAAGTCTTGTTTTCATCTGCAATTATTCAGTGAAGGGGAAGATGAAGTTGAGATGGATCAGCTGAACGTAAACACAGATGGATGGGAGATTGCAGCTGACCGCCTGAACCTTCGTGAGCATATTGGCAAAGGGGCATTTGGTTCAGTGTGGCGAGCGCTACTGGGTCGTTCCCGTGGCAGACCTGGAAATCGCACAGTTGCTGTCAAGTGCTACCTACGTAAGTAATTTTTAGATCTTTTTTTCACTCAAAGCTTAATTCAACTATCCTTAATCAATTTTCAGTGTTTTTCATCTTCATAGAGAGCATTTCTCTTAGAACTCGCTTAATTAACCTATCTGATATATAAAATTGATAGTTTAAAAGCTATGCGCTGTTAAAATGATTTACCAGCTGGCATGTCAAATAAGTAGCGAAGGGTTCCCCGAGGGACCAGTCGTCAGGTAATTTGTCAGAACAGAACACGATTATCATTTAGAGTATAAGCAGCTGTGGAGACAAATGGAAATTTATTGATTAAATTGCATTAAAGCCCTACAATACTAAAAATGTCACTACTTTCGCGCCACCACAAGTCACCCGTTGTTCACCTTTAACCTTCTGACGTCGTATATTTTGCAAAGTTGCAGAAACGATTATCATGTTCAAAGAAACGTGAGCCTTTGGCGCAAAAATTATTGATTAAATGAAAATCATAATGTCGTCGAAGCGTATAAAAGCGGAAAATACTACAATACTAAAAATGTCACTACTTGTTCCTTCGCACCGATAATGGCGGCTTTCTGTCACTATCGTTATAAATCTTCTGCTAAATCTCTTGTAGTCTGCTTTCAACCAAAGTCACCCGCTTTGCACCTTTTCATAACCTTCTGACGCGGGCAAGCTCAATAATGAACGCATGTCGTAAAATACCTTACACTAAATGTCATCTATTTATAACTACACTCTGTATTCTGTAAAAGTTTGTACAAATTTTATCCTGTGTTCGATGTTGTGTTGAAAAATTTTGAAAGTTGTTTTTGACAAAGAAACAAAGTTGCCCGCTTAGAAACTTTTGATGGGAAATCATGTCATGTAGACCTCAAAGAAACATTTCTGTCAAGCTCGGATGAAATTACGTCTAGAGAAGGTGAGCCTTTGGCGCAAAAATTCGATATGCCTTCATGAAAAACAAAAAAAAGTGTTAAAATGCATGTATATGGTAGTATGATCCTGTCTAAATTCTTCTTCTGTAGATGCCATTCTTGTTGTTTCGAAAAACAAGCGAAAAACCTTGTAAAATCATGTGTAATAAGCCAGCCGTGTTAAGCGGTTACCTTGTAATAAGCGGTCGGTTTTCAAAGTCCCGACATTTTCCTCCTTTAGTTGTAGTAATTTTTATACCAAGCGGTTGTGGTCACCCTTTACAGCCTATTTGTCATGTTCCCCACCTGTACTGAACGGTCACTAAAGCGGAAGTACTCAAATAAAATTAAGAATAATCTTTCAAGTGAATATTAATCCATGTTTATCTCCCGAAATCAATGTTGGTTGTATTTTTGAGCAAGGTTGTGTATGTCAAGTGGTCCGTGATGGCATAGAATGACGTTTTTTTAACCTTTATCGATAACACCCCTATTCAGTGGAACCTATATTAAACGGTCAACCATCCCCGCGCGTGACCGCTAAATACAGGTTCGACTTTAACAAGCTTACAGAGTCAAATGAATTTACAATAACTCTGGAAATGCTCATGAATTTATATAACATTTAATAAGATAAAAGCAAGGATTAGGTAGCATGTGAACGGAAGGAAACAAGAAGGCACAAACAGAGTGTATCTTAAAAAATTGTCTCAAATATCTATTCGACCGATTAGGTATTATAACAGGTGCGATTTCCTGGCTTAATCGCGTCTGTACTTTTGTGAGTTGTCTGTAAACAATCGCGCGGTTCAATGAGCTTACCTAGTTAATAACAATTGCTCTTCCTTGGGAAATAATTTTTTCAACGAAGATGAATCTATTTTGGAAATTTCATGTTCAATACAATTAAACAGGACCACCAACTGACATTTTTTTGACAAGTATGGATTTTATGGGGTTTAGAAAACGTAATTTATCTTTTTTTTTTAATGCAAACCAAATGCAATTTGCGCTGATAGTTTAACACCAAATATACAACATCTCTAGATGTGGATGTTTACCACATAATTAATTGTGTCTCTCTTGATATGCAATGTTTGTTTGTTTATTTCATTTTTTTGTGGTTTCTTAGCAATCTCCGGAGAGAAAGGAAGGAAGGCCCTGCTGAGAGAGATCGAGTTATTAAAACTCTTTGGAAGGGAGGGCCATGAAAATGTTGTTAAGTTCATTGGTTGTGTTACAGTTGGAGGTAATTGTTATGATTATAATCAGCTAATTCACAGTAACGATAAAAACATCTCTGAGGTCAACCACTGGTACCATTACTTTTATCAGTATTGCTAAGATGGGGTACTAACTCGATGGTTATTTCATTTTTTTGACTGTTTTAAAGAAATTTACTTCGCACTGTATGTAGGGAATATTACTTGGAAGATTTTAGCTTTAAAATCTACATGCTAATTGTGATAAAAGCTTTAACTTAAGATGGCAAGTCTTTGTCTATTTATCAGTCATCTCTGTTTTTCTGTCTCTCCGTTTATCTGTCTGTCTGTCTGTAGATTTCTATCTGCCGTATGAGTCCGTCTATTTTCTATCTGCGTGTTTTCTTCTTTTACTTTCCATCTCTGTCTGTACTTTGATTCATTACAGATATAACCTAATGTATAAATAGATAAAGCATGTACATTTCAAACACATTTTGGAACTTCTGCACTGCTTGCCATGTAATAATTTTCTTGTTTTTCCCTCTTAGCTCAGCCAATACTTATTATGGAGTACCTGTGGCGAGGTGACTTGCTGGGCTATCTCAGAAAATCCAGGGGGGTTTTCGACCAATATCATCATGGGGTCGGAGGGGTCGACCACTTGACAACGTATGACATGGTGCTGTTTGCTAAACAGATCGCACATGGTATGACTTTCCTCGCGTCCAGAGGGGTAAGTGCTCAAACTCTTCCGGGTTATGGTCCTGCATGTGTTAAAATGGCATGACTTGCAAATCGTGAGAAGAATACTCTGTACGGCTAAAAAATATCCAGCACATTAGAATCACTATTCCACAGAGAAATGGTCTGAAATAAGCATGATGTTAAACTTTCTACCTATACCTTATTTTTTTTATTTTATGTAGTTTATCAACGTTCCTTTTAGCAGATTATATCATTATTTTTTTTTATTTCAGGTAATTCATCGCGATCTTGCAGCTCGTAACATCCTTCTTGATGAGCATCGTGTCTGCAAGTTGACTGACTTTGGGCTCTGTTATCAGGATTTCAAATACGGCCCAGGAAATGCCAAGAGGGTAATTTTCAGAATTTTTTCATCATTTAGTCAATTGGTTTTGGGGCTGCTGGTATGGAAGATAAAAATGTGAAGAATTAAAATATTACTGTCCTTACAAACCTTTCTTTTCAGTTATACAGTCTTACTGCAAAACATATTTCCCTTTAATGGGGAGCCATTCTAAGCGTATCGAAACTTTCACAGAAAAAAAAAATTGTACCTAAGGAGTGAACACAGGAAATAAGAAAGCCGGAAGAGATATCGTTCTCTGAATAGCAAAGATACAAACTCGAAGGGCAAAGTAACACAGGAGATTTAAAGCAAAAGGAGTGTGTGAATTGTTTTCATAGAATTTGTACAAAGGTGTCTACTGCTGTTGACTTTATCGTGAATCCTCACATCACGGTTTTAATCTTATATGCAAATTATTTTAGGAGTTGTATACAAGCCTCTTTAGATTTCAGATGTTTATAATATTTTGGTTACTCATCCAGGGATGTATCCCAATCAAATGGACTGCACCCGAGATTCTCTTTGGACATGTGGAACAGCTGTCAACCAAAAGCGATGTGTACGTACTGTATTGGTTATTATCTACATATATTCCAAGAGTGAATATTTTTTACGATTCTACCTTAACGTAGCGAGGGAAACTAGAATATTCAGTGCTCTATTGATTAGAGAGTCATTAGGAAACGTCAAGCTGAGGAACAGCTGAGGTTACAGCTGTAGTATGAGACTTTATATGAATATTAAGTTTAACGAGCAATATCCAAAATCTGATTAGGACAAGAAAAGACGGATGAAAGGATGAGTGGATAATCAAACTAATAAATATGGCGTTTTCTCTTAGGGAGGTTGCTTATATCTTGATGGCATGTTTTTAAACATCCCAAGTATCTGAGTAATTATTATCTTTCTAACCCAGTTGAGATATATCGTCATCCTTCCATTTCTTTGACAGGTGGTCCTACGGCATCGTCTTGTATGAAATCTTCACTGTCGGTACTTAACTTATTTGTTACTTTATATTCAGGAAATATACTTGCCGAAATTGCACGCATAATTACTAACTGATGAGTGATACCGAGCGGACAAAAGAGCATTGTACAATAGAGAAGTATAGCAACTTGAAATAAAGCTTAAGTTTAAGTAGAACGGAAAGTATTTAGTACATTATTGAAAAACCTTAAATCCATCGCTACACTTAAATTTGTTTTTTTTACAGTACTCTTTCATCTGATGTAAAACCGAAATGTATTTCAGCAATTAATTGTCGTTTTGACAGAAGAATCATTTCGATCGCGCTGAGAGGAATGAAAGTGATTACAACAAAAAAAGTGTGCTTTTTTGGCCAACAGAAAAAAAACATTATTTTTCCACAGGAGGCATTCCTTACGATGGATGGTCTCAATCCACGACAATGAAAAAAATCGAAGAAGGTTATCGTCTGCCAAAGCCTGAACATATCGACGACAGTTTGTAAGTGTTGCTTCCTCTGTGTGGAATGTTATATAAGTCAAAAGCAACATCGATTGCTGCTGTGGTCAGGTGTTTTTGATACACTCGCTCTGAATAAGTAGCCTTCCTAAGAAATTAATTTTATCTTGTCACTACAAAAATTAAAATGAAAAGTTGTTGAGTCAAATAAAGAATACGATGGGTTTTTCATCACAGAATTCGTTTGAGCTGCAATGTAATGAGATAAACTTAGCATTTCAGTTATTTTTGTAACTAGTTGTGGTTTCTCAACTTTGCTACTTGCAATATTAATGCCTACCGCAGAATTACTGTGATCATATGTCCCTGTGTTTTTCTATAGATACGCGGTGATGTTAAACTGCTGGAAATACGAAAGCGCCAGCCGGCCACACTTTGTGAAGCTCTACCAAACAATGGATACATATATTAAAACAAAGGTTTGCCATACAGCGTCTAATTCAGGATATACTTCAGAAATTGAAATTGGTATCCTACCAAGTCAATTGCGAATTTCTTTTCACGTCAATGTGATGTCAAAACGCATTAACTACCCAGCCGCTAACAATTTGTGAATTCAGTTTCATCATGAACCAATGTTACTTTTAAACATATGCAAGTGTGGTTACGTTATGTCAGTCTGGATCATCCTTATTTTCCCTCTGTTGTCTACACACAAGAAAGAACGGAACAGATCTTAAAATAACACTTTTGGAAAACTTTGACAGAAAGGAAGACCTTACCTGACTTTTATTCTTATCAATTCATGCAAGTACTAATGGTTCTTGTCTTTGTGATTGATATCTGATCTGCTCTTTTTTTTCTTTTTAGTGACTCATTTTTGGAATTTCTTTGTTGAATTTTTGAAATTCATTCGTTCAAGATTTTTTAACTCATGCAGTTCTTGATTACCTTCTAATCTTTTTCATAGACATATGTAGATATCTTTGACGATGACAAGTATGATCAGGATAAGTACAACTTTGTCGATGACCGTGGAGCTGTTGCAAACCCAGAAGATGCAGGACCGGACGAGCTAGGAGCAGCTGCAGCAAATCCCATCGGTGAAGTGGGTGAACACGGTGCTACGGCACATCCCTTTCTGGTTGCAGTGGACGATGATGCTACAGCTTTCCCTCTTGGAATTAACGTAGGAGACGAAGGAGCACCTGCAACAGATCCCGACCGTGAAGTGGGTGAACACGGTGCTACGGCACATCCCTTTGTGATTGCAATAAACGATGGTGCTCAAGCTTTCCCTTTCGCTATTAACGTACCAGAGAAAGGGGCAGCTGCAGCAAATCTCTCCCATGAAGTGGGTAAGCACGGTGCTGCTGCACATCCCTTTGTGGTTGCAATTGACGATGGTGCTACAGCTTTCCCTTTCGCTATTAACGTACCAGAGGAAGGGGCAGCTGCAGCAAATCTCGCCCATGAAGTGGGTAAGCACGGTGCTACTGCACATCCCTTTGTGGTTGCAATTGACGATGGTGCTCAAGCTTTCCCTTTCGCTATTAACGTACCAGAGAAAGGGGCAGCTGCAGTTGCAATTGACGATGGTGCTACAGCTTTCCCCTTCGCTATTAACTTACAAGACAAAGGGGCAGCTGCAGGAAATCTCGCCCGTGAAGTGGGTAAGCACGGTGCTACCGCACATCCCTCTATGGTTGGAATTGACGATGGTTCTACAGCTTTCCCTCTCGGAATCAAAGTAGAAGAAGAAGGTTGCGCAGCATACCCTTTTGAGAGTGATAAGAAAGATATGGATGCCCAAGCGTACCCTTTGGAGAGTGATACTTTACCATACCTTAGCGAGAACGAGGAAGAAGATGTTGATGACTCCGAGTGCCCTCTTGCGATTGAGGAAGAAGAAATTGATCCTTTACCATCCTCCCTGGTGATGGACGAAGACGGTCTAGCTGCTTCAGCATGTCCCCTTGTGACTGACGAAGAAAATTCTGATTCTTTAGCATGCCCCCTTGTGGTTGAGGAAGAAGATTCCAATAACTCAGCATGCTCCCCTGTACTTGGGGAAGAAGATTTGGAAGCCACAGAATGCCTTTCTGTTACTGAAAAAGAAGATCCTACCTCTTTCGCACGCTCCGCAAATGAGGCGAACAAACCCGATGCCTCACCATTCCCTTGTGTGATCGAAGAGGAAGATCTTGATTCTTTAGAATACAATCCTCTGATCGAAAAAGAAGGCCTCAGTGATTTCGTCTTCCCTCCAGAAATTCAAACTAATGACGAAGAAGGTGTAACAAGTGAACCTGAAAATACCGTTGGTTATGAAGGTGCTGTAGCAGTTCAATCTGAAAAGGAGGCAGTAGAAGAAGAACCTAAGACTTGCCAACTAGAGTACACGAAGGATGAACAAGACGATCTTGGAAACTATATGGACGACCAAAGTGATGCTGTAGACCTTTTTGACGGAGACGCTGGCGTACAAGAGTATGATGGTAATCAACTTACTGCTGCGGATATAGACGAAACTGGAAGTGACGAAGACGAGGAGTCATCTGAAGCAACTCCTCTTGTGCAGGACTGAGGCTTAATAGCAGAATTGCTGAACCTCTAAGGTTGTAGTCTTATAACACTCTGTGGTAATTTGTAGTTTATATTTCGAGAATTTCAGCCTCAATATTTCATAGTTTTTGATTTTAAGACGTAGGTTTTTTCGTACTTTTACTTTAGTAATGCTTTGGTAGTGATGATAACCATTTTCATAGTTTATAAATGGAGGTTAAGTGGAATTTCCTTCAAAGAAAAAACTTGTTTATTTACTTCACTTTTGCATTTCTTAGTTTACCGTTTATTCACTTGGTGCACTTGTCAGTGCTTTGTTGATGTTATTGACTGTAGGCTGATAGAGACAAAAAAAAAAAAAAAAAAAAAAAAAGAAATTGCTGTTAAGATAATTTTTATAACTGATCAAGTCAGAAATGCTGCGTAAGTTTGTGAGTGTTGTTCCTAGTATAAGTAATATTTCCTAATCTAATTAAGAATAATTTACTTGTTGTAAAGCACTCCCTAAATGCTTCAATAAACTTATTTAAGCTAAACTCGTTTCGTTTACTCCATTCATTGCAGCAAAATTGCTGGTCTGGATCTAACTGTAGATTTGAAGGATACCATAAACTAAAATGACATCTGGCCTCCTTCAAAGAGTAAGATTGACGAAAATCCAGTAGCGCTGCGTTAGTTCTGATAAGTGTATATATTTTTCTATTCCCAGCTTACGCTCGCTTAGCAACCAGGAGTAGCATATTTTCAAAACATTATTAACCCAATACATTTTATCCTTTTTGTAGACAGCTACTGACTCACCGGCCTTTTCAATCGAGTTCTCTATTCCAATTTGTTGATTAGATAGGCGGTATTAAGCTGATTAGTCTTGAATGTTGTTATTTCACATCACTGCTTCTAATCATTGTCTGAGAAAAGTGTTTTAGAAGTTTGAAACATAAATGACCCCATTGTGATGATTCTTAGTGCAGAAGTTGGCCTAAGGCAGATATTCCAAGTGCCAAGGAAGCATTATTTTTTACTTTTTATCTCCACAGTTTCAGGCATTTTGGCGTCTCGGGATATTGTGTTTGAATATTGTTGATACTAATCGTGCCTTCCTGGTGCACTATGTCAGCAAATATGTCGAGTTTAATCAAGCAATAGATGGCGTTTTCGAGAAACACAGACGAGCTAATATAATAATGGATTCTCATTCAGTCATTTTTCAATTTTTTTTTTTTCACGAGCACTTACATATAACGCTGACATTGCCTAACCCATTGCTTCAACTTTCATCGTGAGAAGTACTGTGCTATGATTTTTAGAGAAATAGGCAACGGCAGTTATTTTCTTACTGTCCGTCGTTGTGTTTCTTGACACGAGCAAGGCCTTTGACAAAATAAACCAGGGCATTCCGGCGTGGCTTAGTTCATCATTAATCCATCTGATAGAACCCTAAGCAAGTAACGCTCATAAATTCTGAGTCCCTGACTCTGTGGTCTTTGAACCCAGAGTGCTAAACTTCAAGACCTTTAAATGAAAGTGAAATAAAACCACGATCGTCGATCAAAAGGTCGGTAGGGACTCTGATGTCGATCTCAAAAATTTTGGTTTTTGCCTTGTTTTCGGTATTTATCTATTTGACTATTCAATATGCTTATTAGGAAGAATTTCTGCACACGAAATTAAATTTAAGAGAGGATTTCAGCATCTATCGAACAAATTTGAAATATTGTGGTAAGTCGCCCAAAATTCGTTTTCACTCCAACTTTCATATTTTATAGCCCAATATGTTCTAATAATGTGATGTAGTTTTTTCGTGAAAATATATTTTAGTTTTCGAGAATTAATTTTTTTCGTTCGACCGCTCAAATAAACCATTTTTCACCGTGACTATTACCCGAGTTGTGTGACCTCATGTAACGAATCCGCTCGACATCCGGCATTTCTGTCAACATAATCCTTTGTGTTATCATCTAAACTTAATCCCCTGTCATTATTGAAGCTGGCAAAGAAACATTTATTTTTTGGTGAATATTTTTGTCCGACATGCTTTTCCTATGTCGAAAAGTAGCATCAAAACAAAGACAGTTTTAATAATGACCAATATGACAGAATCTGCTGAGCTTAGAGCTTTTAAAAGACAAAAGGATGGTTATAAAATTACTGTAAAATTTCCTTGCGTATTTGTGTCGTTCTATCTTGAGACGAACTCAAAGTCCGGCAAAATTTACTTGATAGCGACTATGAAATATGCATGGTGTGCCTCCTTGTCGCCACCGTTAACTGGCATAAATCACTACAATTTGTAAAAAAATCTAACATAGCGCTCTTACCTTGTTTAGTTCTGATTTTATTAGCCGTTTCGATCATTATATTACGCCTAGGTATTACTTTTTGACAGGAGCCCAGGTTTTGTGTTGTGTTTTCCCCTCCCCCATTTATATCATAAGCAAATCATGCAATAATTGATACCGACACAAATGAATATTTACCATGTATAAAGATTTTTGTCTATTTTTAATTGAAAATATTAGAATATGTGTTTTTTTGGTCACTAATCGTTGTTTCAGCGACAGCGAAGCAGCTAGAAGTGGTTGTTGCTTAACGCTATTGAAATTTATAGTTCAGACAGGCGAGCAAAACGTGGGAATAAAAACTTTTAGGGGCCTTTTAATAATATCCGAATGAGTTTTGTTCAAGAACGAGTCCATACCGGTTGCCACATGATACCAGAGAAAAATTATTCGAAACGAGTCATTTCTGAGTGAGTTTATTGGGGTTTTCATTACAGAACGAAACACTCATTCTGGACGGCCTTTTCTACCTCTATAATAAAAACGTGGTCGTTCGGAAATGGGTGAGAATGCTTGTGTCGTGCTCTTTAGGTGTCAAAATCAGCGACCTGGTACCTTTTACGATGTCTCAAACTTTAGTGGACCACCAAAGACCTAGCTGGTACGTTTTAAGGTTTTTTTCGCTTAATAAAATAATTGAAATAAGCATTACCAGGACGATTTTAATGATCTGACTCAAGCACATCGATAAAAGAATTTTTATTTTTGGGATTTTTCACTTCTTTGCTTTTGAATTGGTAATTTTTAGTGGTAGAAATCATTTGTTGCCACTCCCACACGGATAAGACTTAGGTACCTTTCATAATTTTATAGCAGTTGTTTTCGAAATTCCAGGCGCGCACCCCCACCCTCTTATGTGAAGGGTCCCCCAGGGGTGCTGATACGTGCAGCTCACTCGAAATTTTAGCAAGGACAAATTTTGATGTGATTATTGGCGAAGAGAAACAAGTTTTGTCAGCGTCTAGTAGCTGGTACGGAAGGGCCCTTTACCACCGCGTGCATAATCACGCGTCCCCCCAGAAGGCGGAAAGCCAACAAAGTGTTCAGACATTAATTCAGAAAACTCCGCCTCTGTCTGGATTTTTTGGTAACCTATTTACCAATTCCCAATCGAGACTTAAGTCACGCGTAATTTTGCTCACGGTGGTAAGTAGCCTACTCACCGAAGCCAGATTGTACGAATTTTCCAGACGTCTTGTGTACTATCTGTGATACACGCTTGCCAATTCCCCTATCGTCTTTTGGAATCGACTTAACCCTACCTTTACCATGGCCGGACACTTCTTTTAGCACCCTACATCTACTACTGGAACCACGACTCCACCCAACACTGAGATTTCACCTATTAGTGGGGAAATTTGTAAAATCATCGATCTCTTTTAGCGTCTCGAGGATGCCGGCACGTGACAAAATAAGATCCACTTCATTTTCTGAGTCTGAACACTTGCAGCTCCGAAATTGACTTGAAATGTCTCTTAAACAACCACGCATGGGAACGACTTGAGATATACAACTTTGGTAACTAAACTCACAAGTTCCACCAGCGAACGATTTAACCGAACAGCAAATCTAAATGTTAGCATGTACGATGAGACGCTTATAAAACAGATCAGTTAGCTAAATCAGTATGTAGCTTGTAAATCAAATGGACTACTGTAACCATACTTTAACTTCAGCCAGCAAAGGAATCATCGGTGGATCTGGACATTTTAGTTTTCTAAATGCAGTTATTCCTGTAAAGTTTTTCTAGACGTCATGCAAAGAGGAAAAAAAACCTATCTCTTAGTATTTCGGAGGTTGACTCATCTTTGAATTTGTGTCACGCTTGTCATGCAACTGATATAATAAGATAGAGAAGATATATAAACTAGAAATCAAATCTAGATAGAATGTGGTAAAGCATAATTAATGTGATCATCGAAACAGGTAATAAAATCATATATAAACAAGGTAAGAGTGCTATGTTAGATTTTTTTACAAATTGTGGTGATTTATGTCAGTTAACGGTGGCGACAGGTAGGCGCACCGTGTATATTTCATAGTCGCCATCAAGCAAATTTTGCCGGACTTCGAGTTCGTCTCAAGATAAAACAACACAAATACACAAGGAAATTTTTACAGTAACTTTATAACCATCCTTTTGACCTTTAAAAGCTAGAAGCTCAGTAGATTCTGTCATATCGGTCATTGTTAAAACTGTCTTTGTTTTTGATGCTACTATATTTTTCTTCGTTGTGATTGGTTGTTTTGATTGCTTTACGACATTCAATCAAAATAAGAAGCAGAAACTTAGTTTACAAACCGGATTCCCTATTTAGGCCTTACAACAAAGATTATTCCTATAAAATTATAGAAATAATCCAGCTCTGCATAATTGTTGGACTGTCGGATGACTTAGGACTTTCGTTTCCAAATTTCAAGAGTGTGTTATGAAGCGGGGTGTGATCTAAAAATAGGTTTAAAGGGAAATTCTTCTCATTGTGATTCCGCCTCTTGGCCTGATTTTCTCTTAACGCTCCACGACGTTCCACAACAAACCATGGGTTGTGAGGTGACTGTGAACCAGTTGTAAAAGCCCTTTTGCTGGATATGAAATATGAGTCTGCGTAACAACATCAGCCTAAGAAAGTAAAGGCTGATATTTAGTTATTGGGCTATAAAGGGTTTGAAAGTGTCCTACTTAAGAGAACATCGAAATAAGTAAGAAAACCGACCCCAAGGAAGCTATTATGTCAGAGAAGTAAAATTCTAAAACTGTTAAATTTACATATGATCTCTTGCTGCGCTGTCCTAATAATGCTCTAGAAAACACCTCTTAATTTAAAAGTATTTAGATGAAAACCGATAGTGTGACCATCTTACCTACGATCAATTTCGGAGGGGATGGCAGGGAAAGGATGTCCCTACTCCCCTCCTCTGAAAAACAGAGAAAGCCTGAAGGCAGTTTCCATACAATTTTAAACAAGAAATACAAAGTAGTAGATTCGGATAAATTCTTCAAATCAAAATCATCGATTTAATAATCGAAATTAGACTTTTCCGTACGTTTGCCGTTCAAACGAAAGTCAATGAGCAGTAAACTGTCGAGTGAAGGCGCTGTCGA